TTTAAATTATTAGAATTTTAAAATTTTTAAATAGGCTTAAAGTTACCTTATTTTTCGGTCTGACTTGTAAAATTTGCTATTGATAAATTTACTTGTGTATTAGTTTATACCAAAATAATGAATTCTAATGTTTGTATATTAAATGATGAGTAAAAAATGATTTAAATTCCGTTAGGGTGATTAACGTTAAGTGAGTAATTCACTTATTCAATTTCTATAATTTGTTGTTTAATTGGTTAGTAAATAGTTTCTTAACGTGTCAGAAAGGTTTTTGGAAATTAAAACTACGCTAGTTTTGAAGGGGGTGAATCAGCAGCTATAGTTACATTTTTAAATTTATAAAGTTTTATTCTTTCATATTTGTTTCTGCGATATTTTAAAAATATATTGATCATTGAAAACTGTATAAGGAGACTCTGTCCATGTGAAATTTCACTAATTAAGCAAAACCCAGCAGCCGAAAGTAATTTCACGCAGTTTTTTTTAACCTATATAAGAGTGCATTATTTACTTTTTCATCGCCCACGTGTCGATTTTTCGGTGTTACAAACATAACTAATTAATTTGTCTATGAGTTGAAGTTTATGGGCCCTGAAATTGTGAAGTTTGATTCTATATCATAATGTATCAATAATTGCGCCTTGTAATAATGTATCAATAATTGATTAATGTATCAATAACATTAATGTAACTATAGCTGCTGACTATAATGTTAGCTGTGACTATAATATAGCTGTAACTATAATGTAACTATAGCTGTAACTATAGCTTGTTGAACTATATAAAAATGTAACTATAGCTGCTGATTAATGTATCAATAATTGCGCCTTGTAATTTTTAAATTAACCAGACGGAGTTTATAAGTATAAGCAAGCAAAATTTGGTAATACAAAGTGGTTTAATGTATTCCCGTTTAGTTTTCTAATAGTTCAACAAGTGTAAAATAAGTAGTCAATAGATAGTTACACGTAGCACTTTATTGTTTCCCAAGGTAAACTCACCTAAACGCTTTGTTGTGCTTGAAATATTTAATCCTAATATTAATTGCTAGCGTTGAAATGTGCATCGTATTTCAGTATTTAATAATATGAAGTAGCTATAATACTTAATTTTTAGAATCCTTGAAAGCGTTTGAGATATGTTATCAATTTACTGAATTTTATGTTACAGTTTTATAATTTTTTTTTTCAAATTTTATCATTCCTTACGAAAATGTTTTTGCAGAAATTCTAAAGAGAAAATCGATGCTAATTTCTTATTTTCTAACTTTTGATTCTTTTTAAACGTAAGGTTAAAGAATTTATTTGCAAAATATTTTTCTTAAAAAAACTGTATATCCTAATATTTCAACCTATTACTCCGAATCAATATTTTATATAAATTTTTAGTCTTATTTTATTTACTTCAATCCTTTTTTATGAAAGGAAAATTCATTTAACTTTAAAAAATTTTTTCTTGTTGCTGTGATTGCAGTATTGTTAGAAAATAGTATTCCTAAATCTAAGTTTTTGTAGTATTAATAACCAGCAACCATTAGTTTCGTATACAGCACATATGGACCTTCTAAATGTAATAGTCATTTTTTTTTGCTAGGAATCTATGTTTTACAATTTATCCACCACTCTTGGTAGTTTCATTTTGTTTGACAATGTAGGTAATGTCATTGTTTACTACTTCTCATTTAGTGTTTTAACATTTTTTTCTGCCAAGCATTTCAGACTCATTTTAAATTTTTAACTTAAAGCTTTTTTTTTCATGTTTAATTATTTCTCTATTTTCAAGTTTAATTATTAAACTGTATTACNAAGCATCACAGACTCATTTCAAATTTTTAACTTAAAGCTTTTTTTTTCCATGTTTAATTATTTCTCTATTTTCAAGTTTAATTGTTAAACTGTATTACTTTTCGTACAATAATTAAGTTTGCCAGGCTATTCGTAGGTCGGGAATTTTAATTACAATGAAAGAATACAAGGAAATACACAATAAAAAAGAATTATCCTACCCTCCAAAGCGTGCTACTTTTTTTATAATTAAAAACTAAAGGCAATTTAAGCTTTAATAATCGAATTTCTTGAAATATTTTATCTCCCTTACAACTTTCTAAATCTCATTTCTGCCATTATTTTGAACTCTGGTTATTTGCCTATTTTACGTCATGTTTCGTTTTTAAATTCAGGTAATTGCAGCGGTCAGCTCCAAAAAGGTTAATATTCGTGCTTCTTATTAATGTATCAAAACATATTTTACAAATTATCAAGTCCCGCAGTGAACTGATCGTCAAGACACTGTTTCCAATAGAACAAAAAAAGTCCTCGTCAAACTGTTCTACCGAGAAGTGCAAGACTTCGCGCTGGTCGTCTGGCTACCGAACCAGAGCCATCCAAAAATTGGAGATTGCATGTCTTTGGATCCTAATCGGGTATGTTCCCCAGACCGTCGCCAACAGCCAATTGTGCAGCTCTAGTGCGACGCAAGCCAACAATAAGAAACAATTTGAAAATTTTTTTTTTGGCAATAATTGTGGTGGTAATGCTAGGACTTCTTTAAAATATATATATATATATATATAATATCAGTGCAAATTTTTATTTAATTTTTCTCAAATGTTCGAAAAGTTCTGGTTTTTGTATTTTTATACTAATTACATAGATTTAGAAGACTCAAACTTTTGACCAGTTAAAAATGTTGATCTCTCTTTAAGACGTTTTTAAGTATTTAATTTTAGTTTTTTAAAGTAATATCACAATCTCCTACAGATTTTCATCCAGGTTACATGGAAAATGGATGTGGTTTTATGGAGAATATATCTGGGGATGCGACTACAGTAATGATGGTGGAAATATTTGCCTAAATGGATGGAAAGACACTTTATTTGGAGATGTGACTACAATAATGATGGTGGAAATATTCGGCTAGATGTTTGGGTTTATCTGGAGACGAGACAATGAAAATATTTTGCTCGAAATGCATCTAAAGTGCATATGACGAAAAGGGTGAGTTTTTTTCCTACATAACTTATATTTTAACCCTGGATACCTTTTTACGTTCTTATGATAAACTTCTTTCTCCAGTTTGAGGAATTAGGGCTGTCACTATAACACTTAAAAATTTTCAAAGAGTGCAAACGTTAAATACAGGGTAATTAAAAATTAATCCCAAATATCAATGTTTATTTTCACTCAGCAAAAACCTTTTAATGTAAAGGTTTGTTATGCGGTTTACGTGTAAACCTTCTAACCTCAAAACTAGATCTGTGACAATCAGCTCTATTCTATGCTCCTTACCCTAATCCAAAACCTTGAAAAACAGCCTTCTATATTAAAACCTTAAATCTAGGTTGACGTTGGGTTTTCAAGCGTGAAAAAAAATTCAATCTACATCAGGTGTTTCCAACTTACATGAGGCCGAAGGTCGTANACATCAGGAGTTTCCAACTTACTTGAGGCCGAAGGCCTTAATTAAAAACATCAGTCAAATGGATGGCCGCAACTTTATCAAAATTTTATATAGGACTCATTTTACGTTTAAAGCAACACTAAATATTACTGTCAGATTTTTATCATGTTGTACAAAACGAAAGTATTTAATTACAAATTAAAATAAGTAGATTTTTGACTTAAATTTTTTTTTTTCACCGTTGGCATGTTGAATTTCACAGAAATACCTAAAATATTGCAAAACTGATCTGTCAAATTCTTATTTTCAAATAAAGGTTATTTTTTTAACTCCTAAAAATAAAATAAAAATTATGCAAGTCAGCTGCCTTTAAATTTTAAGTGATTAAAATTAAAATGACAAATTTTCTTAACGCTATTTTTTTTAAAACTGATAAGTATTATCTGAAAATACTTTTATAAAAATTATAAATTATTATATTTGAGATCGTTAAATTTAATTGTTTGTGGATATTACATAGATTCTATTATTCAAAATAGAGTGAAGAAACTTGTATGAATTAAATTTATAAAGTTTTATCTTGATAATTTAGGAGGCATAAAAATAAGGTGCTGATAGTCGCATCTAGAACTTAGTTATTCGATATAAATTTAAAATTATTTGAAGGAATCCTTTTGAAAATTTTTAAAAATCCTCTATCTAGCTTATAAACATTCATAAATTTAAACTCCAAGCAATTTGCATTCTCTTTTAATTTGCAAATACTGGTAAATTTTAGTCTCAACCCAAACTTTAAAATATTTTTGCTCAGTTGAGAAGTCTTTGATGAATTGTTCAACTTTCTATGAACTGGCAGTAAAGTTTATTTCTTTTTCATTATGTTTAAATTATTAGAATTTTAAATTTTTTAAAAATAGGTTTAAAGTTTTTTTTCAGTTTGGCTTTTAAAATTTGCTATTGATTGACTTGTGTATTATACGAAAATAATGATTTCTGTTTGTATATTAAATGGTTAGTCTAAAATTATTTAAACACAGTTGGGGTGATTATTGAATCACAAACGTTGAATAATTCACTTATTCAATTTTAAGATTTGTTTACTAATTGGTCAGTAAATAGGTTTTAACGTGCCCGAAAAGTTTTTGGAAATTGAAACTAAGTTTCGAAAGGGTGATTCCACAGTTAGACGTTCTTTTAAAGTAGTTATGTTGATAAAATTATATGTGTTCATATTTGGTTCTGAGATATTCTCAAAATATTGACCATTGACAAACATATATAAAATTTATTATGTAAGAGAATATTATATTGAAATATTAAATATTTACGAAATGTTCACACGAATGCTTCACCTTGAGGATAAGAATCTAGTTAAGGTAAACAAATAACAAAACTCATTTTGAATTAAATAGTTTCTATTGAATATGCTTAAGACTCCCACATTTAGAAGTTCATGAAAATTTTTAAAGCTTATTTTAATTTTATATTGTATAACCGTCATTCAACAGCAGACCCAATTTTTGGGTTTACTGCTACCAATGTTCAACTACGCAGCCTTTTAATTTTGGACCGAATCTAGAAGACAGGAAACTTTTGGATCAAGTATTGAGGGGGGGGGGCGGATTTTCCTTCGTAGAGGACTTTTTGATGGAATTAACCCGCATTTGCGTTACATGGAGAGGAAGACCAAAAGAACCTTCCACGGTTAGCCTGAGGGTAATGTGACTGTAACACATGATTTATCTACCACTGAGGATATTTTGCATCAGAGTTGTGGTTGGGGCAAGTTTGGAACGAAATTACTGTCAACCAGCCGTTAATGGATTCGGGTCCGGTTCACCACATTGGAAGGCTAACCCTTAAACCCCCACGGCTGAGAACCAAGAACTTGGTGTAAAGTAGACGCCATATTTTTTAAAAATTTAGTAACAGCATAACTTATAATTACAGTCCATAAGGTACAAAAGAGTCAGCATAGTTAACTTTACACTATACAACAGAGGTGGCTAAGCTCCTTAATAGTCGAGCCAGTTTTCAAAATTTAAAATTTTTCGCGAGCTGCAATTAAATACGTATTTAAAAGGTATGCATAAAAAGGTATTAAAAATTTTTTCTGCTGAAATTATATTTATTGAAAACATATGAACAAAAGTGCAAAATATATGTATTGAATTTTTAAAATTATAAACACATTTATTTTACTTTTAATAATTTAAAATTTGGTGAATAATTGGTGACAGCAGTTCTTAGTAATTCTTTGAGATGCTGGTAAATACTGATAGGTGTTTGCTGAAAACTTCTTTTACCGTGTGTAATTCTGTGTGAAATCTTGTCAAACCTGGTCTAGATATTTTTAATTAAATTTAAATGGTGCAAAAAATCAGTAAATTTGTTAACATATAACACGGAGTGTTAAATTAAATTTTAAGAAATTTTCAATTAGAATTTCCACATCTATTTCAATTTTTCAAGATTTGTTTTATGTGCAATCTTACACAATTTTTATAAGTATCACATAAAGAAGCAGTTTTTCATAAAGAAGCAGAATTTTACCCCTATGTTACATTGGCTTAAGGGTCCGTTTTCATCAGTTTTTTACATAAATTTAGCAAAATCCAAGTTATATTCTTTTATTGTAAACACTCGTGTAATATTAGTGGGATTTTCGGGAGTTTAATTAACGCTTTTTTAGGCTGATCACTGATAATAGAATTATCAACACTTTGATTTTGCACAATGTCAATGTTTATAGTTTTTGATTTACTAATAGAGGTTTTGAGGCTTATCTCTAATTTTTGAATGTCGTCATCCACTTCGAAGAGAGGCCTCGACTTTCTGGAAATCTTCTTCCTCTGCGATTTTGTAGTAGTCGTCCTTTTAGCGTTTCGAATTTCTGTTGGATACTAAGCACACCAATTGAGCCTGGAGCTCAGAAATGTCCATATTGTCTTGTCCTTCTGTGAGGACATTTAGTTTCGTAAGCTGGCTTTTTATGCTGCCACGCTTGCGGTTTAAGGCCATGATATTTGCCATATTTTAGCGGGATGAATTTATTAAATTCAATCTAAAGCGTTTCTTCAGTATTCCATAGGTTCTGGATCACCTCCGGTTCGCTTAGGACCAAAATGTGCGGAGGGGTGGCGTAAAAATAAAGAGAAAGCGTTTGTATAAAATGAGTTTATTTGCGTTTTCCTTGCGGGTGTAGAGCGTAGACTGTAATGGCGTACAAACATAGACAGCTTGCCGAGTTGGCGTATTTACAGTGTGCCAAGGGGAGATGCTCGAACACCAAGAGCGTAACTTACAAATACGGAACATAATGCTTAATTGATATTTTGTAATTTAGTTTTAGACGGAAGTGTTTTGGACGAGAAAAAACTCCTTTTACCTTGTGTAATTCTGTGTGAAATCTTGTCAACCCTGGTCTAAATATTTCTAATTATTAAATTTGAATGGTGCAAAAAATCAGTAAATTTGTTAACATATAACATGGAGTGTTGAATTAAATTTTAAGAAATTTTTAATTGGAATTTCCACATCTATTTCAATTTTTTCAAGATTTGTTTTATGTGCAATCTTACACAATTTTTATAAGTATCACATAGAGAAGCAGTTATGATAGATGAATTTTACCCCTATGTTACATTGGCTTAAGGATCCTTTTTCATCAGTTTTTTTATATAAATGGAGAAAAATCAGTTATATATTCTTTTACTGTAAACACTCGTGTAATATCTACCCGGATATGATGAAAAATTCTTAAAATTGTGTTATTTCTAGTTAATACCAAATCGCGAAATTCATATAAATGTTAAAAGATATAATTTGAAATCAATAAATGATGTCACCAAACTCATTCCATTCAGGAATATTTTCACAAATCTTGTCGTAGTAAGTTTTTAATAATGACAAAGTAAGTCTCAAATAAATGACATTTTTTGTTTAAAAGAAGTTCGATTTCCAATTTGTTAAACATTCCACAAAAACAAGTTTGTTTCTAGTTATATCTAAATTTTCTCAGAAAATTTAGATAAATCTGTAAAAGAAATAATTCTATTTCTATTTGCTTTGGATTCAAGCCTTCTGAATGTTGTGTTTCCTTAACGAATTTTAAGAAATATTGTATACGTACATCCTAAATGAATGACTATTGCTTTATATCTTATCGTAATAAGTAAAATTTTATTCCGCGACATGGCGTCCTCTTATGGAAATTACAAATTTTAGTAAAACAGCTACAAATGACAAACTTTACTGAAAGTGGTGTAAAAGAGTATTATTGATGTACGGAAACTTCTAGATCAATAGAAGTATGTATGGCGCTTCACTACACCTAAATATAAAGTCGTAGCCACAATTTTTTGAGTTTAGATCACTAATTTTAAGGATTTAGCATTTTTCCCTTGCTTAGGAAGTAACAAATATTTTTGTTTTCAGAATGGCAGATAGGAACTACTGGTTTCATGTATTCCTTCTACGATAAACTACATGGAGATTTATCTGCTACTTATCTGTCATAATTGCAGCGTTCAGGTCTTCAACATTTATTTATGTTCTATTGACTGGTCTCGTATCTTCGGTGCTTTTCATTGCAAATTTCATTGTTATCTGTAAGATGTTAATTTTTAATACAGATTTTATCTATAATAATTTCTCTTGTTTTTGAAAAGTAAATTAACTATGTAAAAGTTTATCATTGATAAAAATACTAACTTAAAAAAAATTAGATTTTGGCTTTAATATTTAAAAAAATTTTTGCTGGAATTTAAGGTATTCGAGAAAGCTTTAGTCTTAATTTTCTTACGATGATTTATTTTTTAAGCCTTCTGCGCAAACTTACAAAATTTCTAGCAAAATGTTTTAGGTACATTTCTGTTAAATGCAAAAGAATTATCTGCCATATTTCTATCTTCCTCAGGCACGCAGTTTTCCTAAACTCTAAACTATTCTCGTCGCTTAGCTTTATTGTATCACTCCATTTTTTTAAAAAAACTGTCGCCGCCATGATACCAGTAATTTAAAACATTTGTACTGGACATTCACCTTGTACCAAGAAAACTTGTGAACCATATTTTTTAGAATGCTTAAAAATTCCGTTATAAAAAAAGTTTTAATAACTTTAGTTTTTAGTTTATTCTTTTACATATTAGCGTGAAGTAGAATGGGGCTTTTCAATCAGGAACTTCTATACCAAATATTATAGTATCGGTACTACAATGCTAGAGTGCTTTAGAATGATCTAAGCTTAAATTTTCTAAATTTGTATTTATTTGGAGAGTAAATTTTGGCACAATTTAATTTTAACAAAAACCTGACGTTCAAACTTCAAAAAAGTTACTTAAATACAATTTTTTTAAATTAAAGAGTTATTGCTATATATAATTGCTTAATTTATGAATGTTTTTTTACAGTAGTTCGCAAACTATTTAAATTAACTTTTAGTATTCATGCTAGAACATTCAAAAATAAAATCTCTAAAGAAATTCGCAGACATGTCTCGTTTCTTCTTTATTGATGCATTAATGGTTTTGTAATAAATCCCTTTAACTGAATTTAGACGGATCCACACAACTCTATACACCAAAATTGTGAGAAATAAAATTTCTAAATATTCTCCTCCCCTGCACTTTTCACGGATTCATAACTTGGAATCATAAACTTGACATTGAACACACACAAATCATAATGTGCTATACTATTCTAAATACAAATTTAATAGATTTAATTTAAATTTTTAAATACATTGAAAAAATATATTATTTGTATACTGTAATATAAATTTACTTCTCGTGTGCAAAACTAGATTTATAGCTAAGTAAATTTTTGATATACAAAGGAAGGAATTCAGTCTTAACTTAATAGAGGAATGTTTTACTCTCTAAGCAGAGGGAGATATAATAAAGGTGCTCATTAAAAGGAAAACAGGACTTCAAATTTTAGGTTTTCTAAATTAATTGTATAATTGAGCATATTTTTACTGTTCTACATGCTTTAACTTGCAGTTAAAGTAATTAATATACGAACTCTCATGCAAAGGTTTATATAGACTTAGTGTAGTTAAGACCGATTATAAAATTTAAATAAAAATTGTTATCGAAGTAACTGCTTGTTTTTACATCAATAGTTAAAGTCTGGATATATTATCTGGATAATTTAAAAAAGTTGTAGCCATTTACGAGTTAGAAGGAGGAAAAATTTTCAACTTACTAAACTGATTTTTTTTTTGAATGAGTATTTTTTGTTAAAGTCCTTAAAGGCTGTAACGTTTATATATTTAAAGAAAAATAAAATTCAAATATTTTTGTTTGGCAAATTTTCAGGGAAGTTTAATGTCACTTATTTTTGCTGCTGAAGTAGAAAAATAATCCGTAATTTACTAATCACTTAACTTACCTTAACATTTTACATCTAACACTAACTTGCTGCTTCAGTAGTGGAATAAGTTTCTTTAAATTCCCCTAAAACAGCAAATATTATGCAGAATTGAGTAAAAAGACTTAAAATTAACGGTATAAAGAAAATTTCGCAAAAAAATCTATAAAATGTAATTTTTCCCGAAACTTTTGGTTTAATAATATTCCCGTTTTGCCTAAATTTTAAGTTTTTCTTTCTAAAAAGTAAAATATTAGCATGTAGAACAGTTTTTATTTTTTACGAGCACAAAATAGTGAATTCCTTCATAAAATACTAAACAGCAGTTTAAAATCTTTTAAAGCTTATTAAATTTTTAAATATAATTAAATGAAATGATTCTCTTTAAAGAAACTAATACTTGAAAGTTTACAAATTTATTATCGTGAAGGTGTAGTACATTTTGTACCTTTCCTAATTGTTTGTGATTTTTTTCAAATTGCATCTTCGTAATATCTTGCCTGATGTAATATTTTGAGTATTTTAAAGCGTTGAAAACAGTTTCAAGATAAAAATGCAGTTCTATCTTAAAGTTCTATTAGTTAATTTTAACTGTAGTACGGAATTTTCACTAATAAAAGCTTTAAAATTCTTAAAAAGAAAAGGTAAAAACAAAATATTAAACAATTATAAGAAGCACATATAAAACAAAATGCAAATATAGCTGTCTACAAGGACTACACATTTTCTTAATCGTCTGCACCCCTCGTCCGATACCATATTTTCCTCTAATATACAGATTTTTACTATTTTCAACTCTGCAGAAAGAATCCAGTCTAAAATTTAAAGCATTATTAGCAATCAATGAATTATACTGTCTTCTGTCTTAAATCTCTATAAATTTTTTTAAAAAAATAAGGATTTGTATTAAAACAGATTGCTGCGTTTTAATATGAAAAGTTATGGAAATGCTTTTATTAAAGTTTTCCCAAAGTTTTCGAAATTTCTAAAAGGCTGAACAAAGTTATTATGAGCTAGTATATTATGTAATGGGAAGTAGAATAAGCTCTGGTTATATAAAATTTCATAACAATTAAATTAATTTTTAAAATGTGCCTGCTCTCTTTAAACATTGAAAATTTGATCGAATTAAGGCCATATTTAGGAAATTACTGCTCTTTTTCTATTCCAGTTTCGTAGCTCAATCCCAGCACGAGATCAGTTGACGAATGATAGAATTTTATGTCGTTTAATTCTGTAGTAATGTTTTAAGACTACCTGTTCTGGAAATCTGTGTGCCTGAGATGTTAAGTTGAAATTGTATACTACTAGAATAGGTAGGTAATGTTTTTTAATAAAGGTATGAGCTATATATATATTAAAATTTTGACCGAAATTTTAATTACAGTGAAATTTAAGTTAAACGTTTAAGTACTTTTTACGCAAACGTAGTTAGTTTTGACAGATAAGCTTAAATTCTATAAAATAAACAGCCAAATTACAGGACGATTACGGTTCTTAATTTAAATAGAAACACCAGGATTATACACAGTTGTATAGGTCTTCTTGAAGGGGCTTTAGAGCGAAAGTAGTATCATTCGCGCTCCAAATATTAACTGTTAGTTTGATAGCAGGAATACTGAACAAATTTATCATCGGTGCATTACTCAAATCTACAATCGCAATTTGACATTTTTAAAAAGAGTAACCGAAAATTCTCTACGCTACTAAATTCGAGGTTAAAACTTAATTGATATTCGTAGACTTCTAAACACTATTAATTTAATTACTATTAATTTTTCGAAATTTTTCTGTTTGATTTGGAGATTGATATAGCGCTAACATAAAAGCTTGTGTAGGACGGAAAATTTTGAAATTTCTGAGCAAGTGTGGAGTTCGAATTGGTGGCGGCAGGTCTGCTCCCTCTTCCCCACTTGTACGTTGCTGTACGTGAAAACTCTCCGCTCTGACGTACTTTAATTTAGAACGTTCTTTATGTTTAGAAATTTATGTCTTCAAAGTGAGATATTGTAACTTAGAAATTGAAGTAAAAGCTGGATAAAAAACAATGTTCAGTATTCAAAATAAACTAAATTTTAATTAAGTTTTATGATAATTACCAAAAAGAATAGCATTTGCTTTATACAATGCGAACTAAAGTGAATAAATCGTAAATAAAAGTATGTAGAAAAGGTCGTACTATAGTTTTGGGTACTACAATGCTAGAGTACTTTAGAATGATCTAAGCTTAAATTTTCTAAATTTATATTTATTTGGAGGGTAAATTTTGGCACAATTTAATTTTAACTAAAATCCGACATTCAAACTTCGAAAAAGTGACTTAAATACAAAAACTCTTGAATTAAACAGTTATTACTGTCTCTAATTGCATTATTTATGAACTTTGTTTTACAGTAGTTCCCAAACTATTTAAATTAGCTTTTAGTATTCATGCTAGAACATTCAAAAATAAAATTTCTCAGAAAGTTCGCAGTTAAGTCTCATTTCTTCTTTATTGATGTATTAAGTTTTGTAAATAAAAATCCCTTTGACGAAACTTAAACGGATCCACACAAAATTCTATACACCAAAATTGCGAGAAATAAAATTTCAAAATATCGTCTGCACTTTTCACGGATTCATAACTTTGAATCAAAAGCTAGACTGAAATTAACTTAAACATGGACAGTGAACACACACAAATTATAATGTGCGATATTACTTTGAATCCAAATTTAAGTAATTTAATTGAATTTTTCAAATACATTTGAAGAAATATATCATTTGTATACTGTAACATAAAATTAAAACTCTCGTGTGCAAAACTAGAATAAAAGCTTGGTGAATTTTTGAAAAACAAAGGAAGGTATTCATACAGAGCATAATAGGGGGAGATTTTACTCGCGAAACGCAGGTATTATAAAGATGCTTCTTGAAAGGGAAAAAAAATTCAAATTCTAGGTTTTCTAAATTTAATTTCGCATATTTTTACTGTTCTACATACTTTGACTTGCAGTTAAAATAATTAATATACGAACTCTCATGCCAAGGTTTGTATGACTTAGTGTAGTTAACGCCAAATATAAAATTTAAAAAATTAATGTGAAAACAAGCAGTTACTTTGATAATTTTTATTTAAAAGTCTGGATACATTATCCGGATAATGTATCCAGTTGTAGACATTAACGTGTTATGAGGGGAAAAAATTTAAACAAATTAACTAAAACTATTTTTTAGTATTTTTTTTTTTTTTTGTTAAAGTACTTGAAGGCTATAGCGTTTTAATATTTAAAATAAATAAAACTCCAATATTTTTGCTTAGCAAATTTTCATAATTTTCAGGACGTTTAATGTAACTTAATTTTGCTGCTGAAGTAACAAAATAATTCCTAATTTACTAATCACTTAACTTACCCTACCTTAACATCTAACACTAACTTGTTGCTTCAGTGGTGGAATTAGTTACCTTAAATTCCTATAAAGCACCAAACTTTATGCCGAATTGAGTAAAAAAAAAAATTTAAAATTAACGTTGTACAGAAAATTTCGCAAAAAAAAATTATAAAATTTTTCCGAAAATTTTGGTTTGGTTTACTAAATTTTAGTTTTTAGTTTTAAAGTAAAATATTTGTATGTAGAACAGTTTTTTTTCTTAGAGAATACAAAATCGTGAATTCCTTCATAAAGTACTAAACAGAGCTTAAAATCTTTTAAAGTTTGTTAGGAAATCGTAATTTTTTTAATATAATTAAATGAAATGCTTATTTATAAAGAAACAAATACTTAAAGTTTACAAAATACCGTAAAAGATGCAGTACTGCATTTTGTACCTTTCCAAATTGAGTTTTTTTTTTTTTCAAATTGCTCCTTCGTAATACCTTGCCTGATGTAATATTTATAGTATTTAAAACGTTTAAAACATCCTAAAGTTAGTTTTAAAATAAAAATGCAGTTCTATCTTAACGTTCCAATAGTTAATTTTAACTCTAATTCGCAACTTTCGCTAAAAACCTTTAAAATTCTTAATAAAGAAAAACAAAATGTAAAGAAATTATATAACAAGCACGTAAAGAACAAAATGTCAGTACAGTATTTTCTTAATCGTCTGCTCCTCACTGCCGAAACCGTATTTTCATTTAATATGCACAGATTTTAACTATTCAACTATGCAGAAAGAATCCAGTCTAAAACTTACATCATAATTAGCAATCAAGGAATTAATAACATTGTATCGTGTCTTTTAAAAGTATCTTCATTTTTTTAAAAATAATGAGATTTGTAATAAAACTAATTGCTAAGTTTTCAATATTAAAAAGTTACGAAAATGCTTTTATTGAAGTTCGAAACATCTAAGAGACTGAACAAATTTATTACGAGCGAGCATATTATGTAATGGGAAGTAAAATAAGCTCTGCTTGTATAAAATTTCATGACTGTTGAATTGATATTTAAAATGTGTCTTCTTTCTTCAAACATTGTAAATTTGATCGTATTAAAGCAGTTTACAAGAAGGGCTATATTTAGGAAATTACTGTTCTTTCTCTATTCCAGCTTCTTATCTCGACTCCAGCATTAGATCAATGATAGATTTTTGAGTAATTTCCTACTGTAGTAATGTTTCTAATAAATTCTACCTCTTGTGGAAATCTATATGCCTGATGTCTTAAATTGAAATTGTGTACTGTTAGAATAGAGTTTTAGAAAATAAACAGCTGGAAAACAATTACAGGACGATTACGGTTCTTAATTTAAATCGAAACACCGGGATTAAAGGGGGGGTTAGAGCCAAAGTAGTATCATACGCGCACGCACGCAAAATATCAACCGTTAATTTGGTAGCAGGAATACTGAATAAGTTAATCATCGATACATTACTCAAATCTAAAATCGCAATTTGACATTTTTAAAAAGAGTAACCGAAAATTCTTTGCTCTACTAAAATCAAATAGTTTTTAACTTCGTCGACTTCTAAACGCTATTAACTTAATTACTATTAATTCTTTGAAATCTTTCTGTTTGATTAGGAGATTGATATAGCGCTAACAAAAACACTTGTGTAGGACGGAAAATTTCGAAATTTTCAACAAGTGTGGAGTTAGAAATGGTAGCGATAGACGGCCCTCTTCGACCTCCACACTCGTTCAGCAGTTTCGAAAGTTTCAGATTTCCAAGTGTAAGTTGCCGTACGTAAAAACTCTCTACAGTTATACTTTAATTTAGAACTCTCTTTTCGTTAAGAAATTTAAGACGTCAAAGTGATGTATTGTAACTTAGAAATTAAGGAAGTGAGAGCTGGATAAAAAAATGTTTAGTATTCAAAATTAACTAAATTATAATTTTTAAGTTGTATGAAAATTGGTTTTAAACGACTCGAGATAACGGTAAACTAAGATTTGTATGCTAAAAATGCGTAATTATTAAAGTTATCGTACTTTCTTTATATTACCTTATAATCGGCCTAAAAATGGTAGTAAAACTTTTCTGTAGATTTTGAAATTTTAGCAAAGTGTCTGTGAAAACGAAAACTTTAACAATTAACTCGTACTTTTATTAAAATCTTGTGAAAACAAATTCAGTTACCGACCTGAGTGAGTTTCATTAAATTGCATTTAACAGTTTTGTTTATTCAAAATTCTAAGCACTTAGAAAATTTCTTTAAATTAACGATTTTTTAAGTTGCTAATTTTTTATTTTTAGGTCAATTAATTTAAATATTTTTGGATCAACATATTTTAAAATTGTGTTTGGGAAACCTGAATTTTTTTTACAAACAAGAGAAGGTTATGCCGTGCATTAACTTGTAAAGTGTACATTTTATTTCATTTACTTCTAATACTATTTTTAATTAAATTCTACTTAAAAATAATTATTCAATTATATCTTTTAGTTTTTCCTAAATATTTTGTATCAGCTAAATTAACATCGACTTAAACTGTATATATCCACTGCTTTTTAGGCTTATGTAATCAGTCTTGTCTTAGATATCGAATGTGTAATCTATGTGTATAGCATAAAATGAAACTTATATTATAAAATATGTACCTAACAGAATTCATAAATTATAATTTTTCATAATGTAAATGTAATATTGATGCTACTCTGATGTGTTAGATAAGAAATTTATGTATTTTTATTTTTGAAACTCATTAATTTGTGAGCTTTTGACACTAAAATTAATCTAACACGTATATAAAAAAATTTATTGGTGTAAAAATCCTGTCCTAACTTACACCAAACTATAAAGTATAAATTTGAATATATTGCTTCAGTATATTTACTATGATAAATCCAAATCAGTTCTGCATATATTTTTAAAACAAATATTGAATATATATAATTACCAATCAAAATGTAAAATTTTTCTAAATTTCTGACAGTTTAAAGTGTTGTCATAATCGCAGCGTTGGTTTTATTAACAAATATAGATAGAATTTATAGAGCTTCGATTTTTATAACATGCTGTAAGACTTTAATAAACAAGTCTTTTTTTTACAAGGATCTAAAGTTTTTAATTTATAAGTTAACACATTTAGTTTAAAATCAGGATTTATACTGTTTATTAATCACTGCTTTTAGTAATGTGGAAAATTAGTCAAAGGAAGTGAAAGTGTTATAATTTCTAATACTAAATTTTTCCAGGAGCAAATTAGTAGTAAATGTTTAACGAAAAAAATTAGTGGTAAATGTTTACATTGTATAATTGTATTGAACTAGTGTTTGAAACTTCTTACAGTAATTGAAAGAAATTTTACTCTGATATTTATACTATATATCATAAAAGTATTTTGGTTATAAATTTTTAGTTTTTTGTAATGCTAGACTATATTAAAAGATAAATTGTAAAAATCGTATCTGTACTGTGTATTTTATATTGAAAATAAATTAAATTTTTTGTTAAAATTTTTTGTTTTTATTGTGGTTTTAATTTGCAGATTAAGGAACGGGATTAGAAAAATTCTAATATTTAATACTCTCGCACAAAATGGAATTTTTGTGGTTCTACTAGAGTTTTTTTTTCTTTCTAATATATAGTTTGGGCAAAATTTGAAGTTAAGTGTACTCTTGCTGTGTGGCTCAGGATGTTGGTTGACTAAAGATTACGAGGGCACCTTAAATACTAAATATGTTTGCCCGAGCAAATCTGTTTAATTCTAGTTTCAAACTGTTTAGATTTTCCACAAAATGAACATTTTAGATTCCATCGAAATTAATCTAAGCATACTCTTTGTCAAACCAGAAAAAGAGTCTGCATAACAAAGTCTAATCAAAAGTTTTGGCACTTGTAATCTCTTAAGTGAATAACTCTTTTGATTTTTCCCTTAGAATGCAAGCTTCTAAATTCTCTTATGAATTTTAATTTTTTTTTCTCGGTTAAAACTTGTCACTTGTACGTAAGTCCAATTAAATTATCTTTGATTTTTAAATACAAGGTCAAAAATTTGCTTAAAAATTTCTTTTTGTTTAATCTTATAAAAATCCTTTTATAAATTATTTCTTGTGAAGTTCTGAGTTAAATTTTCAGCAAACATTTCAGATTTAATTTCTTACATAGTTCAACATAAATTCAAATTTGTAAACAGATTTTCAAACTTAACTAACGGTCGGTTAAGAGAGAACTTTTATCAGTTTTGAGTAGTTCAGGTGTTTCTGAAAAATTTTAATATATTCAAAAACTGCAGATTTTATCAAATCTATATTTTAATGAAATTTAATTTTCTCTTTAAACTACGTCAGTTTGACATTAATAAGGAAAATATAAAAGGACTTTAACTCGTGTTGAATAATTACAGTTGCAAGTTTAATTATCTAAGTTTGGATTATTTTTAACCTCTCCTTTAAAAAATTAAATTAAGGTATAAAAATTAGCAATTTGCGCGGTTATTCAATATTAAAAGCTCTTTAAAAATGCATAAATGTTTGAAATATGTACCTGCAATGTACACTTACCTGCACTGTAAAACAAAAAACGATGTTAGGATATTTTCTTCCATACTGATCTTTCTAAACTCAGTCTTAGGCAATTTGTCCCCTTTGCAAGCTTCGATGCTTTATTTCAAATAAGAGTTTTTCAATCAATAAATACTTTTTCCATTATTTTGTTTGCATAGTTTGCATAAAATTCTATCTCGTTATTTGCTAAATTAAAATTTTCCTTTGGTTATCTAAATCAAATGAAATACATTTTTTCTGAAAGTGCCGTCTTTACACTATTTGATTAAACTCTATTTACATCTTCTGATTAGCTCTTTCCAATTCGGAAGTTGTCGTCTAAAAATAAATTCTTCCGTTCTTTTTAAATTGAAAAATACTATTGTTTTTCTCATAAATTTACAAAGTTGATGCTTTACGATGATGCGAACACTAGTTAATTTTCGAAACAATTAATGCGATTTCATATTATTTGGGTTGTACATTATTTTGGTTGGAAATTATTTTAATATTTAAATATCTAATTTTTGTGCCCTGACTCATGACTCATCAATTAAAAATTCCTATTTGGTCATTTATAAATCAAAGAAAATATTTTTTCTGATAAAGTGTCTTCGCAGTTTAAGATGGAAAATTATGAGTTCATGCTTATATCAAAAAATAATAACTTTTCATCTTGCTTCTGATCCAGAAATTAAGTCAAAAATGAAAAGAATTTCACTTCTATTTCATCAGACGAAACTGAGTTATCAGCAATCGTAATAAGTTTGATTTGCATATTAAATTAAAAATATATTTAATAATCACATTCCAATTCCTTTCTGGCAAACAAACGGGTTTTGATCTTTTCTGGTCACCTTTCTCAGAAAGGATTCATTAGATTTTAAATGTTTTTCTCAAGTCCAATATATTTTCAAGATTCCTAGCCAATGCATTTTTATGGCTTCAACTTCGACAATAATTCTTAAATATGCACATTAAGAGTGCTTTAAATAATCTCTGGTTGAAAAATAAAATTTGTGAATCTGTGCCATCGAAAAGTGAGCATTCGGTCATCTCTGTGGCAGCACATGAGTTAATCTCTCGATGATAATTACAATATACTGAGCCGTGATGGCTCAGGGGATAGAGCGTTCGCCTCACGAGGTGAACCGGGCTCGAATCCCAGTCGAATTCCCCATCCGGCTTGCACCGCCCAGAGTGCTAACGTGAAATATCCTCAGTGGTAGATCAAGAGTTAGAGTCCCCTTGCCGTCAGGCTAAAAGTGGGAGGTTCTCGTGGTCTTCCTCTCTATGTAACGCAAATGCGGGTCAGTTCAGGTTTTATAATAGAAAGTGGAGGAATGTAATCTGGCCAATTTCTGGGTTGGGGTGTAGTTTGTCGGAAAAATATGCCATTAGGTTTAGTACGTAATCTTCCTTGTCACTCTTTAGGTCCTGCTCTCCATTGGTCATGCGGCTGTTTGTTTAAAGAGTTCGAATTCTTAAATGGTCGTTTCATAAACGGTTTCATGTGGTGTGCTTTCGATAGTTGCCATTGCGGTTTTGAAAGCGAATCTTGCCATTTCGGCTTGTACATTGGAGATTGCCACTGTGGCTTGGACTGTGGGTTTTTCCAAGGCATTTTTCCAAAGCTGGAAGAT